ATATATATATATATATATATATATATATATATATATAATATATGAATCATCAAAGGTACAATATATATATATAAAGCAATATTAAACTTATTTACAAAAAGGGCGAAACCGACATTCCGGGAAATTTCCGCATGATAGCTTTCACATCATGTATAGGGAAGGTTTTCCATCAAATCTTGGCTCACAGACTTGAAAAATTCATAGTTGAAAATTCACTTATCAATCCTAACATTCAGAAAGCTTTTTTGCATAGTATTAATGGATGTGTTGATCATAACACAGTTCTTCATGAAATTATCAGGCATGCCAAAATCAAATGCAAAACCGTCCTGGAGGATGCATTTGGAAATGTCCACGACTCTCTAGACTGCAGCCATATCCCTCCATTAGTTAAAAACTACATTAAAACCTCTACTCAAATCTCTCTGGCGAGATTAATACAAAAGATTGGACCTCTGAACCTTCCCAATTTTCTAAAGGCATCTTCCAGGGAGACCCATTGTCCCCTATTATATGTTTGCTGTGTTTCGACCCACTGATTCAATCCATCCAATTGGAGGTCTCCTATGGCTACGAGTTAAACGGCACTAACATTATCACTACACCATTTGCAGATGACTTCTGCCTCATTTCAAGAAATAAAAGAACACACCAGAGATTAATAAACAAAATACTGGCTCATAGCAAATCCATGGGACTAAAGCTCAAACCACAAAAGTGCTGCTCACTCTGGATTTGCCTCGGAGGCCTACCAAGTTTCAATACAACCTTGGGAATAATATCCCTTCGGTTGAGGTTGAACCACACAAATTTCTAGGCTCTATCTTTACATTTAGGAATGCCGCCGATGCTGATGTATTTGATTACTTGTGTGATCTTATTGGACAGGGCACATTTGTGTGATCTTATCAACAAAATAAATGATTCCCTTATTAGGCCGGAATACGCAGTATTTTTTGCCGAGCTCAAGATTCCATCTTACAGTGAATATCACACCCACCCAGCTTGAAAAGCTTGATGCCCTGTCCAATAGGTTCGTCAAATTATGGTTTGGCATGCCCAGATGTGCTACTACTGTATGGCCTTCATTCACATGCCCAAGGAATTTGACATTCCCAACATTTCTGAACTCTACAAAGAATGCCATCTCATTGTGCATCTCTCTTCCAGAATTAAGTCTGGTGCGATCGTAAACACTGTCTTGATTCCAGGGTTGAAAGAGAAGGGAACTGGAAGAGAAAATCTCTCTTACCAACCAATTTGTGGACCCACTTTACGCGTAAATTAAAATAATGCGGACCCATTTTCTTAAAAGTGGACCTGTTTTACGCAAAAATATGAAAAAGCTGTACCCATATATTCTTGAAGGTTGACCAATTTTATGCGAAAAGATGAGAAATCTGGATCCATTTTTCAAAAACAGGACTCATTTTGTGCTAAAACAGCATATTTTAGACCTATTTTTGAAAATGTAGACCCACTCTTTGTGGACCCAATAGAAAAATTGTGTGGGACTGTCCAACTGTCCCAATAGCTGGCTACGGCATTGATTATTATACTCAAAATGAAGCGCCAACAAATTTCTCATGATCTTTTATCAGCGATTTTCGGCAACCATAGAGATCTTAATAATAATATGTTTTATGTACCATAGAAAATAAAGCTTATAAACATTGTTTTTGAGTATGTACTTTATATACTGTACTTCAAAGCAGTGATTTCACAACGACCTCAGTCCCACCATGGTTGGGGCTGAGGTGCGAAAATTTGAGGAAATAGTATTTCTAGATGGCCGGAAATGACACTAGATGGCCGGAAATGACAATTCATCATCATCACATCACCATTATATAGTTAAAATGAAAACAAATTTATCATAATCTTTTGTCAGGGATTTACTTAATATCCAAGATAACTTAAGCCTAACTATAGCTTACTAAGTTACTGTATAATAATCAACAAATCACAACTTACTTTTTCGCCTTTAGCACAATTTTCTTCACTTTTTAATATTATTTAATATTATTATCTATTATCACCATCGTCATCATCATCATTGTGATCATCATAATTATTATTATTGCTGCGAAGCAGCCAATTCATATTCTTGACATCAATTTGACCTCTGAAAGGTCATTGTTTGTCAAAAAACAAGGGCCTAAGACGACTGAAAAGCGGAGTTTCCTTCTTTCGTTCTGCCGGATAAAATCAATTACTTTAGGCGAAGTTTGTAGACTAACCTACGCATACCAACTTCCGCATGTGGCGACGCTCGAGTATTACTATTCAGCGTTTTTACTATATTTCTAGGTTTCCTATTTCTACGTTTAATCGGCCCATGTCTCAGCCAGAATATTTTGACGCCAATATTATTTACGAACTCATTTAAACTTATTTACTAGCCTATTTCAGCGTGCTAATTATTACATTTAGGCGACGCTTGTTGTAGACTGGCATACACGGTACCAACGCTCGTTTTTACTATGTTTCTACGTCAGCTCGAGACGAATTGAGTATTACTATTCAGCGTTTTTACTATAACCATGGGTGGTATGAATGTCAACTCGGCCCAAGTCTCGGCAAAGTATTTTTGAGGCCTATAGTATTTACGAACCCAGTTAAACTTATTTATGTCAACGTGCTAATTATTACATTTTAAAACAATAATTAAAAATGTATTATACTTGGGGGCCGCGAAACTGTGGCCAAAGTTGACTTGGTGCCGAGATGACTCAAATTCGATCATGCTTACGTTGTGTGGTACGTTGGCAGTCAACTGGCCTCTACAAACTCGCCCCTAGAATATTCGCCGTCTTGAAAACTCCCCATACTAAATCGTATCACCAAAAAAAAATTCTACTCTATGCCTAGACTAGCTAAATAGGCAGCCTTGAAGGGACGAAGGTCCCAATGAAAAACAACATCGCTCCTTGATAGCTAACATTGTCTATTTAACATCACAATAATTTTATTATTAGACTTATAGTTGTTTTTTGAATTGTACTCCACAAATCTCAGCTGATACCTTGCACAACTCATTAACGCTGGTATCTATTGTCGTGAGAAAATGTTCCATTACAATAAATATAAATGTATTTATTCTGAACAAAATGACACCAAAATCAAATCAAATGACCAGTAGTTATTGAGATATACAAATATGAGGTCAAAGGTCAAACTGACAGAAGTGTCATTTCTGGATAATTTTGGACGAAATGTTTCATTAGAGCATATAGAAATATGTAGGTTGTGAACAATTTGAGACCAAAATCAAGCCTCTACAGTTTGTAGTTGCCAAGATATGATGGCCGCCATAACAGACGTTGGACGCTTGGCACCCCCCGATATTTTGATTCTACATACATTGAAGAAACTTTGTGCCAAGTTTCATGCTTTGGTAATAAAATGCACACCTCATGGCATTAGTAACATGTGGATGCATATTTACGTAAATTAGAAGTACTGTACACTATTTATTTTGAGTGATCCTTGGAAAGAATTTGTATCTAGCAAGAACAAGCTTTAAAATTTTAACACTGTGTACAAAGGTGGGGGGGAGAGCCGCGGCTCCCATGGCTCCCCCTTGTATACGTCCTTGATCAGCCTTCAATTAAATAAAATTAAAAACAGTGTTTGTACATTTAATAACTTATTTACGAAAGTTCAAGGTCTATCGGTTCATCGATCTATGAAAGAAAGACTATCCAACTACTAAGTATTGTTGGAATATAGGCCTAATAATATATTGCCTATGTCTTTGATTTTTTTTCTCTAAGGAATAGGCCTAAGAATGAGATAAAATCACATTTAAGAGGGGGAAAACCTTGAGTTTTGGAGAAATTAAAGGACACTGTAATCTTGTCAAATTTAACCCTTAACCATGGTATTTCTTTTTTTGTTTACTTTCATGGCATTCTAATCAATGTCAAAACATGCACCCTTATTTTTGAGTCGTTACTCTATGCATGCTACATGCATCCAATAGAAAGCTCAATATTTAAAAAAAAAAATTTGGTTATCAACATTGCATCATGAAATAACATTGGGAACATACTTCAACTATTATAGTTTTAATTACATTACTGCTGATTGATATTATAAATGAATTTTGCATTGATAATTATTGCTATAAATTCTAATTCTACTGTAACTTATTCTTGGTTTAATAGAAACAAACAAATTTATGTTTTAATTATCGTCCAGACATTTCATGTCAAGTGGCCCCTAAAATTCTTGTTGTCCGACTGTAAAAAACACTGGCGTCTGGCAAATGGGTTCGCTCATGCCTGATTTAACCCATCCATGTTTTGCCCGTTCAGTGTGCTCTTGTAAATTATTCTTGGTTTATTAGAAACAAACAAATTTATGTTTTAATTATCGTTTATCGGTGTCTGTTCCTTACCTTTATCTGCTGGGACGGCTGCGACATGCCCAGGGGCACAAGTAGCTTTGCGTTATTACTATGCTGGCAGTACAAGTGGTTGTACTCCATTTGCTTATTATTGTGGTGCAAATGCCAACAACTTTGAAAGCAATACATTGTGTGAAGCAGCATGTGGAGGTAAATAACAATATGTAATTTGAAAAATATGCGCTGACAGTACAAGTGGTTGTACTCCATTTGCTTATTATTGTGGTGAAAATGCCAGCAATTTTGTGACCATAACCGATTGTCAAACATCATGTGGAGGTAAATAAAAAAATAATTAGGGCCGAAACCCCCTTTATGTTTCAAAAGCACATTTAACACAAAATCTGTAAAAAATTAAGGTAAGATTTGCTTCGTACACACAATGTAGCGTTACTTGTAAGGGTAATGCCAACAACTTAGAAACCCAAGTACAATGTCAAACAACACATGGCGGTAAATAACAAGTAATCAGGGCCAACCTTAATATTACAGAGGTGGTTGTACCTTATTTTCTAATTATTGTGATGGAAATGCCAACAACTTTGATACCCAAGCAGACTGTCAAACAGCATGTGGCGTTTATAAGTACCTAGTTTAGTTTAGAGAGAAAAAAAAAACCCAGCTTTGTGTTGCCCAAGCCCAACTGAACCATTTAAAAATCACTATCGCTATTTTTGTATTAACATATTATCTATTAAACTAAGAGCCTAAAATATTTGTATTGGTTCAATATTTAATTTTGCTTTGATACAGAGTAATTTTTTGGCCTAATATAGAGTAATGATTTAATACTGAATTCATTTGATTTTATTGTCTTTATTATATTTTCATTGGATTTTGTTTGTTTGTACTTCCACAAGGATTTTATATTTTCATCGGATTTTGTTTATATGTTTAGACCCTTAGGTCTACCTGCAACAGATTTTTACAGATGATTTCTGACTTTAAATGGAAGGGTCCTTTTTATGCTGGTGACTATCGAAAGTGGGGTTTGAATGTGGTGACTATATAAAGAGAAACATCCCTGACTAGATAATCTACTATTCTAAATGAAACTTTCTAGAACAGTTAACCAAGTTACAAGGCATCCCCCTATATCTGCCTTTGTGGATTCTATTTACAACAAAAGACTTTCTAGTTTTGCATTGTGCATAGCATTATACCTAACTAATTAAATATTTTATCATTGCTTTTCAACATGCCTAAACTCTTTTTATAAACAATTTTTTTTTTTACTGCAAAGAAATTTATGTTGGGTGTTTGATTTTTTTTTTTTTACAAAGCAAAGGTACCTGTATTTTGATATATAAATGGGTGTAGGCCTACCTTTATATATAGAGTTAGTGTGTTAATGTAAGTAAGGTGGTGTTGGTTGTTGTATGGGTGGCTCCTTTGATGAAACCATATAATAGATAGAAGTTTATGAGTGATTTTAGAAATATCTGTTTGTGATTGTTTCAGTGAAAAATATATTTGCATATTTTATTATATACTGTAATTTGATTTTTCAGTAACAGTAAGTCCATGTTCAACAAATCCTTGTCAGAATGGAGGTGCATGCACTGTTGTAGGTTCAAGTTACACGTGTACATGTTCAGGGTGTTTTACTGGAACGAACTGTCAAACAGGTGTGTACAAGTTGTTTTCATTGCTAATCATTGATTGCCTAATATCTTAAAATATATTTATTTAAATTTAAATAAATATTCAATTACAAAGGAGTTAAATTCAGATACAGTATAAATACTGCTCTTAGTTTTACGTTTGGAATATTAAGTTGCT